ACCGATGTGCAGCAGTTCAAGTCACCACACTCCCTCCATGTAGCACACAAAGCAAGAGAAGAAAGTAGAAGAAATGCATAATGGAGACAGTAAACAGAGGTGTGACGCAAAGGAATAGTTATAACGAAGAACATAATAATCTCATTAGAAATCATAAGTCACAAGGAGTGGATGCATATGAGCCAGCCATTGACAACGATTTTGAGCCATATCACCGATTGTTTCCAACCGCTGGTTTTTTTATCGTTCCGAGGACCCCAACCAGGAAGTCTGCACCTTCCTACGTGGCTTAAACTAACTGTTGTAGATTTCATTGACTGATGGAGCTATGTTTTGGTTTGACCGCCTCTAGCTCTTTTCCAGCCTGACCCTATGTCATCTAACATTGCCCGTCTGTCGAGGAAGTCGATGACTAGGCAAACGTAACACATGTCCTAACCATCTCGGTCGATATAGCTTCACAGCCTCGTCGATTGATTTCCCCTCCTTACCTAGAACTCGATGCCTAACCTCAATATTGCTCACCTTATTATACCACTTCAAACGGGAGATAGAACGCAGGCACCTATGATCAAAGACAGCTAATCTTTTCATGTTTTGGATTAGCATAGAAATATATCCAGATCCCGATTTGACGCTAGCCCATCAACTCGTGAGTTTGAGTAATGTAGACAGGTGTAGGTTGGACAACTGAACTCCACTTGACTGCTTTAACCCGTAGTTAAAGACTTGATGTGCCGTAAATGGCATTAAACTTTATCTTCCTTTTAATTCTAATATCATATTCCATCGCCTGCTTTACATTGTTCTACCATTTTGTGATTTCTTTTTATCTCCCCCTTATGACACATTTTACTTAATGCACAACTTGAATCGTCATGCCATATTGATAATGTTTGTCCGAGTATATGCTCGACAGTAAATGTTTTGAAAAATCGTGGTTTCTTGTTGCTGTTTATGATATAATTCCTTCACAAAAGTACCTTTGTATTAGACCAAAGTAGATGTTCATTTTCAATTAATCCATGTTTTGTTTTTGCATGCTATTAAAATGTTGCTGTCTATATTGTGATATCCTTAGATTATGTCAAATTTTGCGTACTTAGTTATTCTCTTAGATGAAATTAACACATTGGTGAGCGAGAGATATACTAAATGCTATTGGGAAAACATTTATTTACTGTCGGCTATTGAGCGGCTACAACTAATTAATCTTACTGTTTAGCACTAATCACTGATAGTTGTGAATACAGTTACATCCACGACTCTATCAAATTCATTGTATATTTGGGTTGAACATTGACATTCCCTATGGTGTCTTATTTAAGTTGAGATAGTAGGTTATCTTGATGTTTGACCGTGAGGGGAATTCCGAGAAAGTACATCGCACCAATCAGTGCACTTTACTCGAACTTCAGCAGCCGTGTAAGAGCTTACGACGAGTTGTCATCTGAAGTGATGACAAACAGTGATGTCCGTCAGGGATGTCCACTGTCACTTTTCCTGTTTAATTTCTTCCCCGATTTACCAATGGAATTGACCCTAACTAACTTCAGCGACTGAGGGATTGACTTGTTAGCTTAAAACGTGCAGTTGATATTGCCGTCCTAGGTGAGAACGCTGATAAAATGCTGCAGTCTTCTGAATACCTTGAGCTTCAATCTTCGAATGTTTGGCATTCAATTCACTCCTGCCAAGTGTAAGGTGATGCTGCAGGACTGGGCTACATCGACTACTAGCTTAAAGATGTGGAGTGAATTGATAAAGCGTGTTGACTACTTCACTTATTTGGGAAGCTTCATCAGCCTCAGCGGGCTGATCGCTGACGAAATCTCAGCATGGATACAAAAGGCTAGTATGGCATTTGCCAACTTGCGTAGAGGTGATATCCAGTTATCGATCAAAGGACGTGTGCACTGCTCAGCAGTTCTCTCCGTCCTCCTTTACGGCTGTGAGACATGACCATTAAAAGTGGAAGACATGAAAAGGCTATTCCTCTTTGACAAGAGGTGTCTGCGTCCCATCTCCCTTGCTAGGTGGCATAATAGGGTAAGCAATATTAAGGTGAGGCATCGGTCGAGTACTAAATAAGGAGAGAAAATCAGTCGATGACGTGGTGAAGCCGCATTGGTTAGGATAGTTAGGACATGTTTTACGCATGCCTAACTATCTTCCTCCTCAAAAGGCAATGTTATCTGACGTAGGATTCTTAGAAAAAAGCTAGTGAGGTTAAATGAACACATATCATTGGTTCATGAAATCTTTAAATTAGTTTGAACTAGTCACGTCGGGAGGTATAGACTGCTGTCTGGTTGAGGTCCTCGGGATGTTAAGAACCAATGGCTGACACTTACTGGTCATATGGGACAAATATTGGTTTGTAGGGATTTGATTGATTGGTTACAGGATTTCATCATGAGTTGACATCGGTTTGAGAACCATTGGAAAACCAGCTGGAAGTACTGGACAGCCATCTGTTTCGTCCTGGTTCGGGAATTTTCATCAGCATTCACTCTCTTTGGTCTGGCATATCTAAAAATCTATTGATTTTCTATGTCACTCTTATTTCTCTCTAATATTTCTGCTTATTGTCGTACTTCAAACGTTTTTCTCTTTTGTGTTCCTTTGTGTGCTTCATGAAGTGTGGCAACTCGAACTGCTGCACTTCTGTACAAAGTACTATGTTGAAATCAGTCTCTTAGTCACTCTGGTTACTGCAACAAAGCAGTATCTGCAGTGGCTACATTGAGGAATATCTGAAACACTCTTTGATTAGATTTTCTGTAATTTATGAAGTTTTAATGTTTATTAGCTTTAATTGAATTTGAGATTGCGTTATCCACTAGACCACGAGAGCCACCTCTTGTGCAATAGGACGAAATGCTCATCCTGGATTCCACCGTTAGTCACCGTCCACCAATTAAATAATAACTAAATGCCCAGACATCGTCGAAGCATCTGCACAAGAAGTCGACATGTCAACCTGAGACCGAGCACTTTGGTCCAATCATTCGACGGGAAAATCTGAAATTCAATTAAATTAATATGAACTATTGCACAAGAGGTGGCTTTCGTGGCCCAAGTGATCTAGTGGATAACGCTTTGGCGCTTGAAACTCTGAGCACTGGGTTTGAGCCTCGGTGGGAACATCATCACCCACTGAGAAATGCAGGTACATGCAGCTGACAAGTCCCAAATAGGACGGAATGTGCACCATGGATTCCACTGCTAGTCACCATCCACCAATTAAGTTTATTAGCTTTGTCATTGTTTTAGTCCATTATAAGTCTCTGGTGTTTTTTGTTTCTAAATTAACATCGTGTTACTCATATTGTTTCTACAATTAAAACTGACTGAAAAACTGAGTGGTGAGTAGTTCTCTGAGTGATAAATGAAATGCATCAAAACTCTGAGACAAGGAAGTAGTAACAAAATTCTCAACTTCTGTCCATTCCGTCATAGAGTAAATTAATTTGATAAAGTCTCATAGTGTTATATAATTTTAATTACCAATAACGTTTCGAGCACAATTTATTGCTCATAATCATATCAAGGTACTCATCGGAAGTTGGCAAGTAGTGTGGAAACCTTGAGCAATATATTGTTCTCAAAATGTTATCAGTAAATACTACTGCATGCCAAGTGATCCGCAGTGGGAAACTGATGGAATCCTTCGAAGTGAAGACGGGAGTAAGAAAAGGCTGTCTACTATCTCCAATGATTTTCCTGATTGCGGTAGACTGGATAGTGTGACAGAGAGCCTGCTGCGAGGAAACAGGCTTAAAATGGACCCACACAAAATCTTGGAGGATCTGGATTTCGCCGATGATATTTGTCTGATTTCCCACAAACTGGATGTGCGAGTGAAAAGCAACAAGTTGGTAAAAGAAGCATCCAGAGAATATAGGACTGCAGGTGAACATAGAGAAAACAGTGATGATGAAGATCCCTGGCCAACAGCAACAGCAACAACAACAGACAACAATCAGCAGGAATGGGAGAAATCTGAAAGAAGCAACCTCCTTCACCTACCTGCTGACTTACCTGGGAAGCATCGTTTCAACTACAGGCGGACACAACCGATGAGGACATCAAAACGAGGACCGGAACAGCAAAGCAAGCGAGCTTTCATCACTCTGAAATCTATGTGAAGATCAACAGCACTCAACATAAAAAAGATGCCGATTTTCAACTCCAATGTGCAATCAGTGCTACTATACTGATCAGAGGATTGGCGCGTCATGAAGGGCACTTCGAACAAACTAAAAACCTTCAACAGCTGTCTTGGCTCAATACTCCGCTCAAGATCAGATGTCTAGAAAAGATCAGCAACAGAGATCTCTGGGAGCGAACCAAACCAGAAGGAACCGATTGTACAACAAATATGCAGGAATAAATGGAGGAGGTGGACTAGTCATACTCTGAGAAAACAAACCATCAAGTGAGTGATATCACACGCCAGGCCATTGCTCGAGTGCAACCCGAATGGAAAGTGGCGGGTTGGTCGTCAATGTGAGAGTGACATAGAGAAGGCGATGTGAAGAGGAGATGAAAGCATGTGGGCAGACGTGGAGCCAGGTGAAAACGTAGGCAGAGAACTAAATGCAATGGAGACATGCGGCTGAAGCCCTATGTTGCTCCAGGAACTAAAGGAAACAATGGTAATGATAAATAATACTGTATAACACTGAGACTTTATCAAATATATTGACTCTATGACGAGATCATATACTACCACAGTGCCCAAGTTCTGTTCTTATAATTTCTGTTAATTTCTGAATTTTTGACGTTCGCTGTATTTTTGCTAGAAATAGTTCATAACTTTCTAGCCAATAATACTTTATCTGTTTGTCGACAAGGTTTTCGAAGTATGGATATTCGTAATTTTTGTCTAGTAAAATTCTAGTGTCTCTCGCAATTTGAGTTTTATAGTAGTTGTTACTGTTAAGGTTGATCTGCTGGTTACACGGATTATTTTTTTTACTTTTCTCGTTTAACAGATTCCATGACGGACTTCATTGAAGCAGTTTCTAATCCACTGGCCCCAGATGCCTTCGTGGGGCATGGAGAACTGCCGAATCACAAACTTTCTAACAGTGATTTCCGCAAATTGTTAATGACACCGAAACCGTCAACACAGACATTAAAAACAGATGAAACAGGTGAAAGTGGTACACGTGGTTTCGCTCATCCCTCTGATCGTTCTGATCGTAAACGTCATGAGTCTAGTCAGTCTAGTCATCGTAGTAAAAATAAAGTTGGTCATAAACGTCATCATGTCCGGAGTAAAAAAGATGATCAAAAACCTGAAACATCCGAATCTGTGCATCGTTATCGTGATCGAGCAAAAGAACGACGTGATGGAAAACTTGTAGTGCCAACAGAAGAAGTGGAGGATGAACGTGAGATGGAAAATGATGATGATGCATTAACACGTACAGCTGATTATCGTGCTGTTGCACCATCATCTGCCGCTGGAGCTTCACATGCTGAACGTCGTCGAATGATTATTCAAGAATCAAAGTATCTTGGTGGTGATATGGAGCATACTCATTTGGTGAAAGGTCTCGATTATGTTTTGCTGCAAAAAGTTCGTTTAGAAATTCAAAACAAAGAAGTCGAAGCTGAACAAGCGCTGGATGCTGAGCTGACTAAACCAGATAAAACGAAAGAAAGCACCGTGGGGGAGGAAGGCATTCAATTTCGCACAAATCTTGCAGCAAATATCTGTAATGTTCTATTCAATGAACGTCTACCAGAGCGTAATGAATACTTTCAACCTGGTCGAATGGCTTATCGTATCGAGTTGGAGGATGATTCAGTGGATTTTGAAGTTCCCGCGACAGTAATCCGTAGTAAATCGGATTGTCTGCAAGTGGATGGTCGTGCTGCGGGTGCAATAACTACCAATGAAATTGTTATCAATAAACTGACTCAAATTTTATCCTATTTACGAGCAGGTAAAAGACATGCAAAGAGGGCGAAACTCAAAGGACGTGCTGGTGAAAGACCTGAATTGGATTATGAAGATATACGGCATTCACATACAATAAGTAAAATGGCTAGTAAGTCCTCTTTTATTGATTGTAAACAGTTTGAAATTAATCGAAAATGATAGTCGAAATCTTTTATAGTAGGTTATCATTATATGGAAACCAGATCAACACATAAAACGTATGTGTAAATTGTGACTTAGTAATAGAATGCGAATTTCTAGATTTAAAAGACGATTATCATGCGTCGTTAAAAGTAGTATAAGTTAATTCTGCTCTACCAAAATTTCGAATAGTGATCACCTAATTCAAATGCACCTACTGTAACAACAGAAGACAAGGGCCAGGCAACAGATCGTTTATTAAGGAAATCAACACATATTTATAGATTTTCGTGTACATCATCATAGATTATTGTTAGCAGACAAACACAGTCTTCTAATTGGTTGTTTCTCACTGAAAGTTAATCTTTCATCTCTTTGTTACTGTTTCTTGAATGTCAGATCATCTGTGTGCTAACTGTATCCGCCTACGCAAAATCTACTGTGGTTGGTTGTCGAATCAATCTTTGTTTATATTCTTTTCACGACCAATATTGGGGACATAAACATTGACGTAAAATACTGTCCACCAATTCTGGCTAGTAGCCAGCTCTCACCACACTACTACTTTTCAAGATTTGTGCAGTCAGGCAGTATCATGAACCTTCGCATTCAAGGTGTGTTTCATAGGTCAGTATTCATTTTTGCATGCGACTACGGAGTTGTCATTTGTCGTAAAGTCGATTCCCTTGAGGATTTGGTTATCTAATATATTTTGGACTTCTGGCGTTTTAATCAAAGTTGTCAACATAAGCTTCCCGTTTTCAGTATTACATCCGTATGTCTAGTATGAACTAGGACAACTCAAACCTCCCTTTTTGAAATATGTCATCTCGTAATTAGCTCTCAAATGTATTCCTTCTATCCATCTAGTGCTGGTCGAACTGTGTCTATTGATTAGTGCCTATTGTACAATTAAACTATGTAAATTTGAATAAAGCAAGAACAACAGTGGTTTGTGCAGAGTAAAATGGTACCATCATTGTTTATTTCGTTGGCTTCCCATCATCTGCTTACAGGCTAAAGTAATTATTAAGTATATCTACAGAAACAATTTTAACATACTTAAAGTAAGAGTTCATTTTTAAACAAAAATCAATCAATATATGCACACAGTAATAATATATATAATAATTAACACTTTATCCCGAACAATAATGATTATACACAGTGGAAACTTTCAACATTAAGTGATCAGATGAAAGAGAGGGTGAAAATATCCAGTCACCAGATCAAGAAAGGGCTGATAATCACTTCTTTCTGAACACACATAAATAGGGTTTCAGGCTCTTGATGGAGATCACTTCATCAAACTTAAGGAGGATTGAAATCTTTTGCTTATTGATCATTTTGAACGATCTTGTGACGTCCACCTCATGACCCGTGTCAAGTAGATGCCTGGCGATGACACTGTTTAAAGCATTTGTCCTCTTTAGACATAGGCTTTTTGTTACGTATTCAGAAAATCGTAGGTATGCCCTCCTTCTTTCTGTTCTTCCAATGTGCGTTGGTGGCACAGTGGTGTTAGGACTCTCGCCGACCATGCACATGGTCTGAGGTTCGATCCCCCGCCGACTCACACCTGATATCTATGGTTGGGCTGCAAAATTTAGGCTACCGATATCACATGCTGAAAATTCCATACTTGTACCAAAAATACAGTGTGGAATCAAGCTGTAATAAAAAAAAAATTGTAAATTTGTCTATACAGTTGGAGTTAACATGAGAGAAGGATATCTATCGATTTTAGATTGCATCAAAGAGCAAGTTGTTCGATAGACGCGAATCAGCACTGCCTAGTTAAATTACGCTACTCTGAATTTCGGCACTGAGGAGGCAGCAGAGATATCGAACAGAATGCTTGGCAAACATGTTTTTTTTTTGGTTACAGCTTGATTCCACACTGTATTTTTGGTACAAGTATGGAATTTTCAGCATGTGATATCGTTAGCCCAAATTTTGCAGGCCGACCATAGATATCAGGTGTGCGTCGGTAAGGGATCGAACCTCGGACCATGTGCATGATCGGCGAGAGTCCTAACCACTGTGCCACCGACGCATGTTGCCACTTATCAGTAATACGTAGGATAATGATAAAGTTTGTTTTTCTGAAGATCTTACTTTCGTCATCGAATATCACAGCTAGGAACAACAGTGTTATTTACGTGGTGACTGATTTCTGTAGGATTACAATTTTATGCACAAGTCGATTGTGGAGAAGACTAAAGAATGTGATACATAGATTGAAAACGCTAATTAGATTTTACTGTTCAAACAAAAGCACTGAAATGATCATTAAGCAAGAAAGAATAAAAGTAATGCGCTTGACAAATAAGCATGCTTTTGATTCACTCACTCAATTTAGCTATCTACACTAAGTTCTTGATTAAAATTACTGTGGATCAGAACCGCTTTTCAGTGCCCAAACTGCACTCGACACTTGATTCCCTAAACTAGTAGCTCTCTCTATACTAAGAACAAAACAGTTGAGGTAATGGAAGATGATTGGAATGAAGGCTAGCTGAGTTCAAAGTGAGATGAGAACTCAAGAGTCTCTGGGTCACCTGTCAAGTGTCTCCTTAAGTGAAGTGCAAAATCCAGTTGTTAAGTGCGTCCTCAGTTTACATCAATTATATATAGTACATACGGTTCATTGTGAACAATCAGTAATACTTGTTGTTTGCAGAATATTATCTGGTTTTGCTCATTATACTCTTATGTAATATCTTTACTTCACTACTTTGAATAGTTTCGTTGGCCTCTATTTTTAGTTAATTCTTTTCATTCCTTCATGTTCCCAGTGGAACATAGGGTGCCTTCATGCTAGAGGCTTGAAGTTTCTGTAGCAGTGTTTATTTTTACAGGGTGAGTTTGTTAGCCTCATGCCCAACCTTTCCTCTTTACCAGCTTTTTTATTTACTGGCTTAGCGAGTTAAAGGAGTGCGTCCTTAATCGGGGATCGAACCCCGGACTACCTGTGTGGTAGACGAGCGTCCTAACCGCTGTGCCACGGACACACACTGTAGTTAATTATTTAGATCTCAAATAGCTAGTTTTTGTCTATAAGCCACACACTTATTGCGTAGGGGCTAATGATACTACTCAATCACCCAGGCTGCAGTTAGTACGTGGGGAGCGGGACTCGAACCCCAGGACCCATTTACTGAAAATCGAGTTATTAGGTCGATGAATTAATGACTTACAAGATATTCATATGAATCCCATTAGTAACTTAGGTGGGATGAGTAATCTTTTGTACTCTTCTATAGAAGTAAAAATCCATTTTATAGTTTTTTTTAAACTACATGGGTACTGTTGATTAGAAACTGATATCACCATTTACCCGGGTAGTATAAATTTATTCAGATAACGCGTATGTTAGTAAATATCCGTTCTTGCCTACAGACAAGTATCAGTTTTGGGGTGCTTTCAGTCTTAAGTTTTAGCTTTTAAACTGATATTTACGAAATTTAATTTCCATTAAGGTGCCAACTTATTGTATTAATTTTCATTCGTCAGACGTGGATGGTTAAACGTGAAAAGTTCATGAAAATATCTTCTTCTTAGATTACGCTTGTTTCTGTTGAAGTTTCAGCAGAAAGGGTAAATGAATCACTGATCCTGCTATAATATATTCCAGAGTAACTAAAACATGAGTGCCATCCTACTCTTATCTTGTACCGTAATTACTATAGTAACATGAGGCATAAAATCACGTCACGGTGGTCGATGATTGTTGATCTCAACTGTGCAGAGTAGTGAAAGACCCTTGGGATTGGATCGTATAAATGGTGAAAACATTAGATGGTGGGGTTGAAATCCAGGAGAATGTTTACTAATCTGGTATATCTCTTGATGGAGAATTCTAATAGCCAATTATATTTAATCATGCTTGAATTCATGCAGTTATGCAATAGTTAGATATCAGTTGGTAAAACTGTCTAGCTTCTAAAGGTCGAAGTTCTAGAAACAGAATTAGATCTTGTGAGAGAAATCTTCATCAAAAATGGATACTCACCAAGATTCATTTACAGAAATATCAAACCAAGAATTTGAAGGAATGAAACTTCACTTGCACCGAAAAAGAAACTCTACATGAACTTGAATTTCAAGGGGATTTAGCAAGCGATATTCTCAAGAGAAGGACGGCACCATCTCTGAGAACAACATTCTTTGCAGCAATGCTAAGAATAGTGTTCTCCGGTCACCCACTGGTCTGCAGAAATCCTAAGGACAAGATCCCGCATCTGACCACTTCTCTGTGCATATATCAGTTCACCTGCTGCTGCGGAGTTAGGAACATAGGTCATTCGACGCGCATCCTGTCCAAGAGGATTCAAAAACACTATCCAGCATGGTTGCAAAAAGGCAATAGTGGTGCTATATGGAGTGCGACAATCGAACACCCGGTTAACACTGATCATTCCTTCTCGACAAACGCCTCCTTCGAAGTAATCTACAGAGTCAAGAATAACCTACCAAAGGCAATACAGTTTCGTCTTCTTTGTATCGCTGAAGCTCTGGCCATTCACATAGAAAAACCGGAGCTGTGTTGTGAGTTGGTTGGTGAGTTTTTCAAGGTTAAGCCTTATTATTATTGTTTTTTTTCTCATGAACCCAATTCGGGAGTTAAACATCGATGTAAATTGCTGTCTACAATTTTAGGCTTGCAGACAGCTATCACCACACTATCACTTCAGTTCCTTAGGTTAACAGTCATATATGGTATCATTCTACAAAGAAATATTATTATTTTTTCTCTAAATCCATCTAATTATTTTCCCCTATAGATACTGATATATTTGAAGGTGTTGGTCGTGAATATCAACCGACAACAATTAAAAAACAGACAAAGGAGGACGAGAATGGAATGATGAACGCATTAGATGATTCTAAATCATCAGCTACACGAAATCGTCCATCAGCATCGAATCCATCGAATACTACTGAATCAACCCACCAACAGTCATCGTATTTTGAAGTGCCTGCTAATGCTTCAAACTCTACAAATGCAAACAATTCAATAAATGCTACAAAAGAATTTATGAATGAGCTGAGTCAACGATTTGGAATGAAAGATGGTGACAAGTTACAAGAAAAAGTGAGTGTTATTTAGCGTCTGCTTTTCGAAGTTGTAGATGGCGATTGTTTTTTCCTATATATATATATATATATATATATATATATATATGACAGATACTTCATTCCTTCTCCTATATTATCGCCTGCATACACTAACTCTGACATTTGAATATGACTTGATAATTAGTCAGTCACGTTGTGTTTTCGAAGCACTTGTGCATAACGGAGCTATCACCTAGGCAAAATAGAAGCTATCTGTAACATCCTAAGTGGGTGAAATGGTAACGGAGTTCTGTTTATGCATGTATAATCAAGCACCCTTCATATGCAGTGATAGCTAAAAGTAGGAATAGTTTTTATATAAGAATAAAACTTGTGCACTGTGGCAGACAGTATAATTCCATTATGGGTAAAGTTTGTTTTGATAAAGTCTCACAGTGTTATACAGTAATATTTACTGATGTGACCAAGTTGCGAGCACAATTTATTGCCACTCACAATCATATCAAGGCACCACTCAAAATTTTCTAACTTTGTTTATATAATTCCATTATTTTTAATCGCTTCATTTGATTGTTCGTAGCATTTCCACTCTCTGGTATCAATGATGAGTCATTTCTATTGAATGTGTTGGATGTAGACTCGATCAACCAGGCAGGATTCAGTAATTAACCTCTCTTGCACCACCTACCTATATTACTCCTTAGAATTTTAACCCTCTCCCACCCATCCTATTGTGTGGATGTGTGTTAATACACGCCGTGCAACTGTTGAGCTTTTTTCTAAATTACTCATTTTCTCGAAGTCAACCATTCTAACCTTAGCTATATTCTTATGTTCCGACAATCTGACTACTCCCCGACCTACTAGTTTGACCTATGCAGTTGACCTCACTCACAGTCATTGCAAGGTATTTTGTAAATTATATTATTTTGTTTAATTGGATCCACCGGGTCTTTTAGCCTACAGAGCTTGTCCCAGAGTGAGTTTGTAGGTTCAAATGCCACCCTAATTCCTGGTTTATTAAGAATCCTACGTAGGGTCTCAGATGCCCCCTCCTTATGTGGTATAACAGTAGATGACTTATATTCTCTCTCATTTATGCTATCGTTATCAGTTTCACCATTATTTTTATTTTGCTTTTGGTCTTTTCTGATCTTCTGATTTTATGGCATAGTTATTTGATATCAACGCTTCTTCTATCTGTCTGTTTTATTTCATCATTTAGGTCTTTCCTTGTACTGCTTAGCGCTACTGCTCTGTTTGTTAGACGCTTCACTAAACCTGACTTCACAGACAGTTAACGAATGAGATGAATTAAAGTCTAAATATCTATTAGAATGCTCTGATTTTTTTTAAAAACGCTAATTTGAAGTATTTATACTATAAATGCGAGTTATTTGGCCGGAAATCCGAACCAGATCTCCAGCGTAACAGAAGAACATTTGAACATTGAACCACCGAAGATTACAGAGTGTCGATGACACACGCATAACACAATGATATCAAGCAGAAGATTCCGCTTCGTCAACGAAATAAAATACGTCTACCTTGTGATATGTCCCCGTATTGTTTCCAGGATAACTGCTAGCAGTTTCAAAATCTGAAGAAATGGTGAATGCAATATATTGCCACACACACACACACACAGAACTAAATGATGAAATAAAACAGACAGATAGAAGAAGCGTTGATATCAAATAACTATGCCATAAAATCAGAAGATCAGAAAAGACCAAAAGCAAAATAAAAATAATGGTGAAACTGATAACGATAGCATAAATGAGAGAGAATATAAGTCATCTACTGTTATACCACATAAGGAGGGGGCATCTGAGACCCTACGTAGGATTCTTAATAAACCAGGAATTAGGGTGGCATTTGAACCTACAAACTCACTCTGGGACAAGCTCTGTAGGCTAAAAGACCCGGTGGATCCAATTAAACAAAATAATATAATTTACAAAATACCTTGCAATGACTGTGAGTGAGGTCAACTGCATAGGTCAAACTAGTAGGTCGGGGAGTAGTCAGATTGTCGGAACATAAGAATATAGCTAAGGTTAGAATGGTTGACTTCGAGAAAATGAGTAATTTAGAAAAAAGCTCAACAGTTGCACGGCGTGTATTAACACACATCCACACAATAGGATGGGTGGGAGAGGGTTAAAATTCTAAGGAGTAATATAGGTAGGTGGTGCAAGAGAGGTTGATTATTTAGTCTTCGGTTATAGAATCTGCACCCAACGCATTCAATAGGAATGACTCATCACTCATACCAGAAATATGGAGAATACTACTACCAATCAAGTCAGGAGATGAAAAACGATCGAATTATATAAACGAAGTTAGAAAGTTGTGTGAGCAGTGTCTTGATATGATAATGAGCAGTAATAATTTGTGCTAGAAATATGTGGTCATCAGTAAATATTACTGTATAACAAACACTTTGAGACTTTATCAAAACGAATTGTACCCATAATGGAATTAGGACTAGTTTTATTGATGATGTGATAATCTGACTATAGACAGTCCTTTTGTTTGTGTGTGTGTGCTAATACTTGTTTGTCCGGCATTTTTATGATTCTGGTACATTGAGAACCAAGCGTGTTTTGTTGTTTGTTTTTTTATTTTGGAAAATAATTTGAATAAAAAGTATTCCAATGACTGTTTATTATTTGCAATCAATCAGTGCCTAATCTCTCAGTTATTTGACCAAAGTGGTGAATTTTGGCAAAAAAATGTGTAGAACAATAGATGTGAGTGATATTTCGATTACTTGATGACGATAGCTAACAAAGCTGATATAATTAGTATTCAATTGTTAGGTGGTGACTAGCAGTGGAATCCAGAATGCGCATTTCGTCCTATTTGGGACTCGCCAGCTGGATGTACCTGCATTTCTCAGTGAGTAATGATGTTCCCACCGAGGGTCGAACCCAGTGCCTATAGTTTCAAACGCCAAAGCGTTATCCACTAGACCACTTGGGCCACGTGAGCCACCTCTTGTGCAACGGGTCATATTAATTTAATTGAATTTTTGATTTTCCCGTTGATTGATTAGACTGAATTCCACTGCTAGTCACCATCCACTAATTAAATGCCCAGACATCGTCGAAGCATCTGCACAAGAAGCCGACATGTCAACCTGAGACCGAGCACTTCGGTCCAATCAATCGACGAGAAAATCAAAAATTCAATTAAATTAATATGACCCGTTGCACAAGAGGTGGCTCTCGTGGCCCAAGTGGTCTAGTGGATAACGCTTTGGCGTTTGAAACTATAGGCAGTGGGTTCGACCCTCGGTGGGAACATCATCACTCACTGAGAAATGCAGGTATATCCACTGGTTGACGAGTGCCAAATAGGACGAAATTTGCGTTATCCTGGATTCCACTGCTAGTCACCACCTAACAATTGAATACTAATTATATCAGCTTTGTTAGCTATCGTCATCAAGTAATCGAAATATCACTCACATCTATTGTTCTACACATTTTTTTTGCCTAAATTCACCTCTATGTTCCACTGGGAATGTAGAGATATAGATAAAGTTGATCTCCTGTAGGACTATTGGATACTTTCGATTGCACACTAGTGAGTAACTAGTGTAATGTGTGCGTCCCATCTGATTGTAATTGATCAATAACACTCGTATTTTTATTTCTGAATGTACATAATCTTATACTGATTTTTATTCAAATGTCTATTCATCAATTCCGCTCATGTATATAAATGAAGCAAAAGTTATTTGAGTAGTGCCCTGATATGATTATGAGTAGCAATAGTTTGTGCTCAAAATGTCATCAGTTAATATTACTGTATAACACTGTGTGATTTATCAAAATAAAATCTTATCCATAATGGAGTTATACTACTCTACCCCAGTGCCCAAATGTTATACTTATGTCTAGTCCTATCTTTGGTGCAAACTGAATTCTATCAGTCAAGATTGTAGATGTGCCTTGCTGACTGGTGAGTGCCAACTAGCACGAAACCCTAGGTCCAAGCCTGACTTCCTGCCGATTACCTCCAACCATCTGATTCCAACAATTGACAGTGCACCTTGATGATTATCCACCTGATGGCATGGTGGCCACATTGCAAACTTGACTGATAGAATTCAGTCTCCACCAAGGATAAGACTAGCCAGACACACACACACTACACTACACTAGTCGCTGACTAGTATCCAATCAAAAAGATTCACTACTTCATTTGCACATAAGTGGAAATGAATAAGCTGAATTTCCATTGATTTATTTGTTAAGAAATAATTTTTCGCTAACTTTTTCAAAAGCGTAAATGTTGTATACGCATTTTATGATCTCCCGTATTCCTTAGACCCGCATGCTTCTCCATGGCACTGTTCTTTCTGCCTCACATTTCTGCTTCTTATAGTTCTTCTGAGTTTCTTTTTCCTCTATTTTCTCTACTTTTTGTACTGCAGAAAGAGAGAGAGAGTGTGTGTGTGTGGCAGTTTGAATTGCTACACTTTTGTACAAAGTCCTGCGTTGGAACTCAGTAAATCAGTTTCATTTTCTGAACCACTGTTCACAGTTCAGCCACTATACAAAAAGCTTCTAAAACTATTTTGATAGTATATCTATCTATATATGTATCTATCTAGGAGGAATAGTATAAGCACTGTACTAAGGCTTCTTTCTGGACAGTCGATCAATATATTCTTTCCCTTTTTTGTATAGTTGGTTTGTAAGGATTAGTTTTGTTTTTACGAGTTGATCACGAATTGATATCAGTTAGAGAACCATTGAAAACCAGCACTGGACTGGAGTACTGGACAGCTGTTTCCGTTGTCCTAGTTTTGGAATCATTGGCAGTACGCACCAACCACAGGGGTTCGAACCCATGACCTTTCATATACAAGGCCAGCCAGCTCGTATACCATTCAGCCACCACTGGGACCCGACTCCTCAATGGCCAGTTAGCCCATGAATTCTAACTTCTACCAATTTGTAATTTAGCGCGACTGGCACCAACCAATGCCTGATCACACATTGATATCAGTTAGAGAACCAGTGAAAGGCAGGCAGTACTGTCACACATCTTCTTCGTCCTAGTTTGGTACTCATCGGCCCTACACACCCACCCAGGACCTCCTAGTGAGTAGTCATAACCTGACCCCTGGATTCTAGGCGGTAGGCAGTGATTACAAATACTGGTCTATGAAATTGTCTGTTGCCAGTCGCGCTAAATTAACGAATCGATACAAGTTACAATTCATCGACCATTTAATTTGCGTCCCAGTGGCTGAATGGTCGACAAGTTTGCTTTGTAACGGAAAGGTGGTTCGAACTCTGGTAGAGCTGCATCCTGTTGATGAGTCGCGAACCAGGATGGAACATCCGTCCAGTACTCCCTGATTCTCCAACTGATATCGATCCGTGGTCAAACCTGAAACAAATCGAATCCCTACCAAATAACTCTTGAATATTCTTTCTATTCTGACAAAATTATTGCAACACTGATAAATTTCAGTAAGACTGTTTGCGAAACATGCGACACCAAGAGAGATAGAAATCGAATAAGGCGATCCAGTCAAGTTCACACTAACATTCGTGTTCAAAGTAAAGATGGAGGGCACTTTTAAATTCACAAATACTCTTGCCATTTGGATCGTAAATAAGTTATATATATATATATATATATATATTTGTTGTTGTGCTCTCTGTGCTGGATAGTTAATTTTCGAAGCTTTCATAACCCTACTAGACAACATCTTCAGCGCATACTTCAATCTGTTTAAGTGAGCTTTCAGATTTCTCCACGAGTTTATTAATCATCTCTCCTAGTGACCTTGGACGTGAATGGTTGCTTTTGTGTGTTTTCACGTCGTCTGAGTTACTTGTATTGGAACTGATCGTTTCTTTGACTTGAATTTTTACCCTTTGTGTGTGAGGTTTCCTTCTTATCGGTTGATAAATTTTGTCTATCTCGATGTGTCTATTGATTGATGATCCACTGGAATGCCAAGCTTCTAAAAATTCTCTAGCATTCTTGTTGTTTCCTCTGTCTAATATTTGAACGTTGTCCCAGTCGAATTGATGTCCGTAGTTGTCTGTGTGTGGTGATATGAGGTAGTGGATATCATGTCTTTTGACAGCCAGCTTATGATCATGGATACGAGGACGAAGGGGACGTCCACTTTGGCCAATGTAGTTTTTTTTCGCAGTGTTGTTACAATTTATTTTGTAGATGATGTTGGTTTTATCTCCTTTAGCTGTTGAGTCTTTTGGTTGACATAGAATTGAGTGAAGTGACTTTGTTGGTTTGTGTGCGATGTCAATTCCTAAAGGTTTGAAGAGTCTTATAGTAATTTCTGAGATATCCTTTATATATGGTAGGGCGATTTTCTTTATGCTTTCCCTGCCGGCTTTTGTTTTGATAGGTTGACTTGGGGGTATATGTCTTTTGATGAAATTCCGTGGATATCCATTCTTTTGGAAGACTTCCATGAGGTATCTTTCTTCAATTTTCCTTTAGGTGGGAGTGGAGCAATGAGTCCTTGCCCTCTTGAATATTGTTTGTATACAATTCCTTTTGTGTGTTGTTGGATTGTTGCTGTTGTAATCCAGTGCTTGGTTTGTGTGAGTTGATTTTCTATAAACTTGAGTTTCTAATTCTCCTGTGGTTGTTCGCTTGACTAAGACATCCAAAAATGGGATTTGGTCCTGGGATTTTTCTTCTCTTGTGAATTTGATATCGTTGAAGACGTTTTTTCTTTATTAAGTTGTGAGTTTTATCTAATTCGTCTCTTCAATTTGAAATATGCGCTGAAGATGTCGCCTAGTAGCTTCGCAAATTTACTATCCAGCTCAGAGAACACAACCACCTCAAAATCATCCATCTGAGCTACAAATCTTCTGTATCATATATAATATGTTTTCTATCGTCTTAACTGCTTTCATCCTATTTTTCTTTCTTTTTCTCCTAGGCAAGTCTTGAACGATTCTTTGCTAAAACACAAGTCACTTGTTATGATGAATGTTATCCTGGATTTGCTGAATCCTATGATGCTATGGGTGATTCAGACGATGAAGCCGATTTCAGTAAAATGGATTTAGGCAATAAAAAAGGGCCAGTTGGTCGATGGGATTTTGAAACACAAGAAGAATACAGTGATTATATGTCGAATAAAGAAGCTATGCCTAGAGCTGCTTTCCAATATGGTGTCAAAATGGCTGATGGTCGACGTACACGTCGGATTGGACCAAAAGATGAAAAAGCTGAGCTGGATCGTCAATTACAAAAAATTCAAACAATTATTCAAAAACGCAAACAACTCGCTGAAGAAGGTGATAGTGTAATAAAAAATCCAAGATTTTGAAATTGTTCCCGCCACCCCTACCCCTCCATTGTTTTTCTCTTTAGTTTCGTGTTGTTTTTATTTCATTCGATTGTGCATATAAAGTGAATTAACTTTCTCATTCAATATTTCAACACTTCTGTTTACTTCCTAACATGCTTGTTTGGTGTGTAGTGAGTGAGTTATTGATAGCGATAAATACACAAGACAATGTGATAAAGTCTTACATGTGTGTGTGTGTATATATAACCTCCTTAAGTTGGTTTGTTCCTTTACTCTGTGGGATAAATAGTGGTGCGGTTTTGTCCGAATTCCGTTAAATATCTTCTGAGGAAGAATGTATTGAATTTAATTGATGGATGGTGACTAGCAGTGGAATCCACCAGGATGCGCATTTCGTCCTATTTGGGACTCGTCAACTAGCTGGATGTACCTGCACTTCTTAGTGAGTGATGATGTTCCCATCACCATCCACCAATTAAATACTAATTAAATACCCAGACATCTTCGAAGCATCTGCATAAGAAGCCAACAGACATGTCAACCTGAGACCGAGCACTTCGGTGCAATAAATCGATGGGAAAATCAAAAAATTCAATAAGAATGTATTGATGTTAAGTTGGAGTTATTATTTTGAACTAGAATCTTGGTTGGCCGAGTGTTTCATTGTCCCGACATAGAGTTGACGTTGTGTGCCACACATCATTTGATGCCAATAAAGTGGTACTAATTTGGTTCCATCATAGAACAAAATTTATTTAACAGAGCCTCATAGTATTATTTACTGATGACCACGTTTCCAGCATAATTTATGACGTACAATCATTATCAAGGTGCTTACACAACTTTCTAACTTCGTTTATATAATTCCATTATTCTTCTCATCTTTCGACTTGATTGGTAGTAGTATTTTTCATATCTCTAGTATTAGTGATGAGTCATTCCTATTGCATGTGGTGGGTGTAGATGCTGATCTAGGACTTATACATAGGACAAAGCTACTCTTTGAGGGAATTATTATGGAAATTTAAGTATGCCTCACGTCTACTTTCTTTAAATTCTAAGGGAAAATATATAGATGAAATGAAGGTGTAGCAATGGAATCACCAATATCTCCTAGCGTAGCAGGTATCTTTATGGACAATTGGGAAAATATTGCTCTTAATACATTTAATTCTACTCCAAACGTAATATGGTGGAGATATGTGAATGACACTATCACTTACAGTGTTAGGAACAGAACATATCTCTGGCTTCTTGACACAAATAAACTCACATTCGAATAAGAAAATGAATAAAGAGAATTAGATGTGATGTTAGATTGTAAAATAAAACGAATGCAAGAATACAAACTGTACTGTAGCGTTTATAGATAGTCAGCATATTCTAATAGATATTTAGACTTTAATCCAGCTCATCCTTTATCTGTGAAGCCAGGCTTAGTCAAGTGTCTAACAAACCGAGCAGTAAGACTAAGTAGTACATCAAAAATCTGAATAATGAGGTGAAACAGACAGAAGAAGCGCTGGTATTAAATGGCTATCCTATAAAATTTATTAAGAAGATCAGAAAAGGTCAAAAGTAAAATAAAAATAATGGTGAAACTAATAATCACAACAAAATTAAGGAAGAATATAATGCACCTACAGTTTTACCATATAATGAGGGGACATGTGAAACTATACGTAGAATTCTTGATAAAGTAGGAATTAAGGTGGCATTTAAACCCACAAAATCACTCAGGGAAAAGCTATGTAGGCTGAAGGACCCTACTGACTCATTTAGATAAAATATTTACAAAATACCCTGGGATGATTGTGAGGTGAACTCAACAGATCAAACTAGTAGATCTGGGGTAGTCAGATTATCAGAAAATAAGAATTTAGCTGAATGTAGAATTGTTGACCCCGCATTAACACGCAGTAGGGTGGAAGAGTTACAATTCTAAAAGGTAATATAGATAGATGGAGAGAGAGCTCGCTTACTAAACCTTTGTTCATCGAATCTACTACACCCACCACATGTAACTGAAATGACTCATCACTGATACCAGAGATATGAAAAATATTACTACCAATCAAATCCAGAAATGAGAAATATAAACGAAGTCAGAAAGTTGTGTGAGTACCTTTATATGCTTGTGAGTCATAAATTGTGCTTGGAACGTAATCAGTGAATAATACTGTGAGCGCTTGTCAAATAAATGTATTCTATGGTGGAATTACTCTCTGCCAGTGTCTAAGCTCTATCCTTACATCAACAGCAGTACCTTGGTGTTTCACTAACAACAATTCGTAACGTCCACAAAATCAGTCTTTGCAAAAACATGTTATTTTACCCAGCTAAGTATTATAATGCTTATAAGATTAGACCTAAAGCAATAATGGGGACGGAGAAACGAAAATTAAGTCATACTATTTAATTTTTTGTGTGCCTCAGTTGTTCAGTGGTTTAATGCTCACTAGCCATGCCAGAGGTCCGGGTTTGACTCCCTGCTGATCTACTCTTAAATCGCACCTAATTTACTAGCATGTTGGAGGCTCTCAAAAGGGGGAAAGACTAACAATTCCGCCCCGTACAAACAACGCCGCTACTGAAAATTCGGAGCTCGAAGTCCTATGTTACATTCAGAACACAAGAAGGTAATATTAAACTTCTGCAGTGAATAAAGGTTTTGGGTTTATAAATATGCAAATCTGAAGGTTGCAAGATTACGGTGCTGGATTTCATTATCTGTTTGAATGAAAAAAAACTCCACAATAACATATTGGATAGGATGAGAAGTTTACGATCTATCAAAACTGACAGTTTTTAAATAATAATAATAATAAACTGTTATGTCAAAACTTCGTACCATTTGTAGATATTGAAACAGCTGAGGGGGACTAGAATCAGTGTTGCGTATAGTCTGTTACATGACTCTTCTTGTAGTCGTCATTGCAATATATTTACCTGATTTTACAGTAAATCACACATTTTTAGTATTCTATTTTGTTTCTTACTACTTGTAAGTACACAGAATAGGATTCAGTTGAGTAATGGAGATTATTTTATATTAAGACAATAGGTGACATGACTCAAAATCGTTGTCACTGGCGCAGATGTATTCAGTATCTATAATCTTTTATATTCCTTTCTACTATTATCCATTCTGTTTCACTCTTATACTTGTGAAACTCTATTAATTCTCTCCACTCATCTTCTTGTCTACCTTTCTGTACTATTTGGAACGTGGCAACTCGAACTGCTGCACTTCGGTGCCAAGTTTTATGTTGAATCCAGACAGACAGACTTTATATTAACATTGAAAGGATATATATAGAAATATAAACTGTTTCCAGCGAATTTGTGGGTTAATCAAGAAAGATATTTCAATCTCAAGCATTGTTTGAGGTCGCATAAATCAATGTTGACAATCTTGAGATACGTTTAAATAAATGGTATAATGCAATTCTTTGTGGATTAGAAAATTAAAGGAAGGTGTGTAGGATGAATTCAGTTTCTTCATCAAAAACTGTTTACATTTCGAGTTAAACAGTTTGCAATGAATTGATTAATCAATTTTTTAAGCACAGATTATTGAACAAAGAATATTCTTCCTTCATAGCGTTACCTTCGAAATTTATAGTTATTTATATATCCATATGAAGTGAATACTAGGTTTTTGTTACATGAAGGTTTTCTTTGTAGTGAAGATTCATTAAATCAGACACACTGTATCCAGATTACTTCACATTCTCTCGAAATTCAGTTCAAAGTGAAAAAATGTATATGATGGCACGTTTGTTTTAATTATTTCATTTCTTTTTTATTACAGTAAATAACTGTGCTGCACGCGATGTTGAGCGTAGTGAAAATAAATGACAGTGATTAGAGTCTTTAAATAAATTGAATGCAGTCAAGTTACGTAGTTTGTATAAATGAAGATATCATTTAGGTAGGGATTGACTTGTTACCAGGAAATAATCTTGTTGACTCAAAATATGCAGATGATATAGTCCTCCCACCTGGGTGAAGGTGCTGACAAAATACATAGTCTTTTAAACACCTCAATCTGCGCATGTTTGGCATGCAGTTCGCTACTGCAAAATGTAAGGTGATGCTACAGGACTGGATTACACTGACTTCTAGCTTAGAAATATGAAGTGGTATAGCCTGTTGACTACTTCACTTATTTGGGAAGCCTCAGCACGGATACACAAGACTCGTTTCGCATATACCAGTTCACGCTGTCCGTGGAGTAGACGCAATATCCGGCTATTGCCCAAATGTCGTGCGTACTGCTCGGTAGTCCGCTCTGTCCTCCTTTATGACGGTGAGCTAGACATGGCCGCTGAAAGTGGAAGACCTGAAAAGGGTAGCTATCTTTGATCATAGGTGCCTGTGGTATATCTCCCGTGTGAAGTGGTATAATACGGTAAGCAATATTAAGGTTAGGCGTCGAGTGCTATTGAAGGAGGGGAAATCAATCGACAAGGTTGTGAAGTTGCACCGACTGAGATGGGTAGGACATGTGTTACGTATGCTTAGTCATCACCTTCCTCGATGGGCAATGTTAGCTGATATCGGGTTAGGTTGTAAAAGAGCCTGTGGTATTCAAACGATAACATGGTTCCATCAGTCAATGAAATCCACAACAGTTAGTTTAAGCCAGCGAGCCACGTAGGAAGGTGTAGACTTCCTGGTTGGGGTCCTCGGGACGGTAAAAACCACTGGTGATATGGCTCAAAATCGGTCTCAATGGCTGGTGGAGATTCATCCATTCCTTGTGACTTATTATGCTCAATGAAACTATATTGTTCTTTCATAATACTATTCTTTTTGCCTCATATCTCTCTTTACTGTCTCTCTTTTGCACTTCTTTCTGATTTCTTCCATTGCTTTGTGTGCTACATGGAGGGAGTGTGGCGACTCGAACTGCTGGACATCCGTGCGAAGTTTCATTTTGAAAACAGTCAGTCATGCGCGTTTAAAAACAACTGTGCAATCACCAATGATGAGCAAGAGATAGTAAAATATAGTTCCACTATAATTTGCAAACAGGATGTTCATCTTAACTGACCTTGACCTTGGCGGCCTGTTGAATTTTTGGGCCTGCTACCAAAATATCTACATTTTGCATCCAGTTTCCTGTTTACCAGCATACACTTATCACTTAAATATGAATTCTAACAGAATCATTTACTCTCGTAACTTTATTAATAATTTACGACCAAATGACTTTCATATTCCAAAGAAACCAAGAAGGAAACATCGTAGTGGTTGGCAGAGAGCTCTCAAACGTACACCAATACACTTAACTACGGTCCCCGTCATAATGAACTCAAACTGTCGCTCTCTACCAAATAAGATAATGTATCTACAATCCCTGATGTCAACTGATACGTATCATAACACTGCCATAATCGCATTACAAGAAACGTGGTTGCATGAACTGTATGATGACAACCTTATCTCACTAAAGGACTTTATTTTATTTCGACAAGACCGTCAATGTTGTAATAAGAAAAATGGTGGTGGCGTTGCAACTTTTATTCACTCCAAATGGTCTGTCTCAAATAACATCTGCTTCACCTTCTCAAATGACTTCATTGACTGTATTACTGTCAAATGTCGCCCCAAACACCTCCCCAAATATCAACAATTCTATATTACAAACATGTACATTTCTCCTAGTTGCTCTCCATCTGATCTATCTAATTTTGCTGATGAATTCACCATGTTTGCTGCTGCCAACTTCGACAACTCTCTATCCGTTATTACTGGAGACTTCAACACATCAGATTGCTCCTTTCTTGAAGCTCTTGGTCACACAAATATAGTCAAATTTCCCACTCGACTTGACAAAACCCTTGACTTGGTTTTTACCAATGATGAAGGAGTATATGAAACACGTAGACGTTCACCGATACATAACTCCGATCACTGCATTGTCCGCGTTTTGCCAAAAATATACAGCAAAACACATATTAAAATCTTCTCACACCTGTCCACGAAGGCACAACAAAGAAGCTACACATCTGACAACTTACTCAATCTAAGATGCATGTTAAAAGATACCAACTGGGATCTATTCTATGAAAGTACATTAGATGACTCAATCACCAATATAATGGATTATCTTAAGTTCTGCCTTGACATATGCTGTCCCAAACAAACACTGTTCAAACGCCTCGACCGCTTTTCGTCTCCCCATCTCAAACAACTTCGCAGGCAAAAAGAAATGTTATATAAATGCAAAGACAAGTTAGGACTTAAAAAGATAAATGCTCAAATCAAATCTGAAATCAAAAATCTTAATGCTATCTATAACCAAACACTTTTATCATGCAAATCTCCAAACAGCATGTGGAAACTTTTCAATGAAATTACTGGCAATAGTAAGCGATGTAATGTTTTTCCCTCTTGTGATGTTAATGCTCTTAATCTGTCTTTTATACGCTCTCCTTCTACCATAACCACTTCTAATGTTACCAATCTTGTAGCTGATAACTTCCAGGACTTCAATACTCTCGATGTTTTGAAATGTCTTAAAACTCTTAAGCCCTCACATAGTCTTGGCCCTGATGGCATACCTGCATATGTCCTAAAACAATGTGCAGATGCTTTATGTTCTCCTCTAACTAATATCCTAAATGCTTCTTTCTCCGAAAACGTTGTACCTGTTCCATGGAAAGACATTAAAATAGTCCCTGTCCCTAAACCTGGAAATAGCAAGAACGTAAAGTTCAGACCCATCGCCATCACTTCCCCGTTTCTAAAGCTCATGGAAAAACTAATACTTCTTAAACTCGAACCCTCCCTTAAAAGCTTCGAAGACCCCAAACAATTTGCCTACAGACAGGGTAGGAGTACTTTAGACGCTGCAGCCGTCTTACACAACAGTATTGTCTCATCATTAGACAAAGGTGCCAAATATGTCCGCTGCACGTTTCTTGACTTTACTTCTGCTTTCGACTCTGTACCTAGAAGTCTCTTGCTAAATAAGCTCTCCACGACACAAACCGAGTCTTGGGTCACTAAGTGGTTGCATTCCTACTTTTCAAACAGAATGCAGTACACCGTATACAAAGGTCAATCCTCCTCTGCTGTGCTCACTGAATCTGGTGTCCCCCAAGGTGCTGTACTCTCCCCACTTCTCTTTTCATTCTTCCTACATGACCTACCGTCTTCAAATGATATTAACTTTGTCAAATATGCTGATGACCTAACTGTATCTTTACCTGTCAAATGTCAAAATGACTGCTCTAAACTAAATGGCTTCTTATCAGAAATTAGCCAATGGTCCAAGGAAAACGGTCTAACCTTAAACCCCTCCAAATGCCAAACAGTTAATTTCACCTTTAGGCATAAATCTGACCTAAACAAACTGGTTAGCGCTCACGAGGTGTGCAACATAGATGGCACTGAAATAGAAACTAAGTCGGAAATTAAATACCTAGGCGTCACTCTATCTTCTGATCTTTCCTGGTCGTCTCATATCTTGACGATTTCCAAGAAAATATACCGTCTTACCTTCTACATCAAGAAGTTAAGACATTCTGGTGTAACCCAACCCTTACTACTACAATTTGTTAACTCCCGTATTCTGCCTATAATTCTCTATTGCTCCCCCTTAGTCTTTCCTGGGCTATTGAAGAAAGACTATACCTTATTACGTAGGATGTTAAAGGTTGTCAGCAGGGTAAGCAGTTTACCACTTAGCCAGCTTGTTAACATTCTGGTGGACAGGCACATGGACTCATGTGAAAAATGGGCGAAGTCCATTTTATCTGACTCACAACACCCTCTACACTCACAACTCTCCCCATGTATCTCTTCAGGGAAAACAAGAAGTCTATATAGGAAACTATATGCCCGCACTAGTAAGTACAAAAACTCATCCATACCCTACCTAGCCCGTGTTCTGTGTGATAAAGAATGCATCAGGCATGAAACCTTTAACTTATTAAATAGTCACTAGAACCAATGAATCTCGTCTTTCCAACTCACATCATTTATAGGTACAACGTTTTCTCTCTTTTCCATTCTCTCTTTTGTCTTTATTTTTGTTATGTGCTGTTTTGTTTTTCTCTTCCTTGCAAACTCTACTTAAAACATTCTTGTTCGTTCTTTTACACTCTGTATATCTCGACCATTTTGCTATCGCTTACGCCAGTAAATATGCTAGTAGTATCTACTTTTGTAACACCTTCAAACATTTTAATTTTGGCTTTGCTACCGACATACTAATATGTTGTTGAGATAATCTTTAATCTATGTAGAACTTTATTTATTGTTAATGTAAAAACTGGATGCAATATTGTAGTAAAATGCTGAGAATTCCATTCTGTATCACAAGTACTGATTTGGAATAAAGCTTATATAATAATAATAATAATAATAATTTAGCACTCATCGCTAACATATCAGTGTGGAATCAAGCTGTTACCAAAAATAAAATAATAAATAAATATATGGAGTCTTGAGGAATAAACTTGCAATATCCAGTGTAATTTTCGCGAGCTAGTAGAAACCAGTTTGATTTCTTTGTGCTCGCTTCTTGATTGTAAGGTATAGGTTCCTGATCTTCGGTAAACTTCTGCGTAGCTTGTCCCGCCATTCGACTGCCGTAGCTTTTTATGATGTGTTTTGTTCTCTGAGCTGGATGCTTAATTTGCGAAGCTTTCATCACCCTACTGGGTGACATCTTCAGCGCATACTTCAATTTGAAGTGAGCTTTTAGATTTGGTTGACTCTATAAGGAATAGTGCCAGGATTAATTATATGTGGTTCGTGGTATGAGGTGTGTTAAGACTGTTACTACTATGAGTCGATTTGATCCTTTTATCAGTTAGTCCCCCGGTATAGCCGTCAAAAGAAAAGAGACATTAATAATAATAGATATAATTAGTAAACTTATTCAGGCTAAAAGACGGAAAAAGAAGCAAAGGAAACGTAAAACAGACAGCTGATTAAATTCGAAGTTGATATATATATATATATAACCAGTAAAATAATAATAAGTTTAGTTAGAGTTGTCAGGAGAGTAAGATGGGAGAGAATGTAAAGAGGTGAAACGCCGAACTTATTTGTCTACCCCGAATGGTGTACAGGATTCTAAAGGGATAGGCCATTTGGACGCAGTCCTTGTGTCACTGCATGATTGTTTAGCCTTCGTTTAAAGCTGTCCACAGACAGTGTCATGGCTGCACCTGCCAGTAAGGAGTTCCAGGGACGGCAAAACCGCAGTGAAAAGAAGTGGGAGCGCACCCGGGTCCTTGCCTTCTGGTGAGCTATCTTTCTCGGATTTTCACTAGGAAACCTATTGTGGTGATTGACAATTTCTATCTCTGTATTGTTTAAATACTTACTGTTGATTGTTGATATGTTTCTTATATGAATGACATAACAATTCCGCTAAATACAAATTCCTGAATTCTGCCCTCTCTGTGTTTTGGTTGGATTCGTGTAATTCGGTCATCTCGAAATACTAAAACTACGATTACAATAAATTACTACAAATTGGCGTGGCGATGGAACTAAATAACCTGGGAAAATTTCCTATTAATGGGTCTCCGCGGGAGATTGCTGATTATTTGGAATGTTTCGATGCGTGGTGCATTTCAAAGAATGTTCGGGATGACAAAATACCAGCACATTTCATCACTGCTATTGGGCTAGATGCGTATAGCCTAGTAAAGACTCTGTCATTTCCAGATAAACCTATTTCTCTGTCATATGTCAAGACTCGTGAACTTCTGACAAATCACTTTCATGTAACTACATTTGAGACCAGAGAGAGGGCTCAGTTCAACAAACTGGTTCGTGCTCCCAACCAGAGAATTAGAGATTTTATTCTGCAACTCCAAATACAATCTTCAAAGTGTAACTTTGGAGATCAGCTGCATGCTCAACTACGTGATCGTCTAATTGCTGGAATCAATATTCCCAAGTTAGAGAAAGAGTTAATTCAGATTCCTTCTTGTACCTTTCAAACTGCTAGAGATTTATGTATTACATATGAAGATGTCAATAGTGAAAACTCTGCTCCCACTACGTCAGTGTCTGATGTTATGCTTTCTAAAGTCGAAAATACAAGTGGTAATGGAAAGCAATCCAAACTGCCGTCCACAGGTAATAGAATGCAGCCAGAGATCAAAAACATTAAGCCGTGTTTATCCTGTGGAAAGTTACATCTACGAAGCACTTGCCGTTTTCGGGGTGCTAAGTGTCACAAGTGTGGTAAAGTTGGACATATCAAGACTGTTTGCAGAATTTCGAATACTTATGTTACTCAGAATTCTTATAATTCTGCCAATCTGTCTAGTAAAATGGAGTCAATGTGTCTTTCAACTTTTCAAAATACTCAAGCTAATCCAATGAAAACCTCCACTACAAGTTCAGCAACTCAAGCGTCAACTGTTTTCAAAAATGAGGTAGCTGAGTTACAATGCGAACTGTCGAAAACACGAAAAAACTGAATGAGATGAGAGAGCAACTGATTAAAATGGAGGAATTGCTGCATATGCATAGACTGAGTTTGTTGAATGCAGAGCATACAAGTACCCGTGAAAGTCCTGCAAAACTTTTCAAATCTCGAATTCTCAAAAAGCATCTGATGTCCACGACTTCTAATGTACATTACTACAAAGGGAATGACTATAGACCTTCTGTTGGAATTATACTACAAAAAATGGGAAATCGAGTGGTGAAGATATTAGACATCAAAGATCACTCAGTTCATAACAGACACCTGGACAAAGTGACAATAAATGAAGTAGGTCGTTCCAATTATTATTTTAATGATTCCGCTAATAATCCTGATTTTTTAGATAATTCAGAAATAGGTCCAGATAATACTGATGAAAATAATATCACAGAATCAGTTAGGTCGCAGCTACTTTCAAGCAAACCGAGACATCGTTATAAATACGCAAGGAGATATTCGACGTGTGGCGGATGTGGTGATTGACAATTTCTATCTCTGTATTGTTTAAATACTTACTGTTGATTGTTGATATGTTTCTTATATGAATGACATAATAATTCCGCTAAATACAAATTCCTGAATTCTGCCCTCTCTGTGTTTTGGTTGGATTCTTGTAATTCGGTCACCTCGAAATACTAAAACTACGATTACAATAAATTACTACACCTATACCTACTCAATGGCACAACACCTTTGTTTAGGTGATTCTGGTCATGTGTTATTTTGTAGGCAGTAATCAAATCCCCCATAAGTCGATCGTAGCCAGGTGTGAATAGGCCTAATTTCTTTAGCCTTTCATCATGTGGTTCATTTCGGAGACCAACCACTCCTTTTTTACCCGTTTTTGGGCTCTTTCCGAGAGGTCGATGTCTCTTCTGAGCAGTGGGTTTGCAATGATATCATGCACCTCAAGGTGTGGTCTGACGTACCTTTTTGTACAACCTTAGAAAGAGCTCGGGAGTGAGTGCACCTAACTGTCTATGTGTAAAGTGGATGACCGCATATGACCTCGCTACGTCCCCCGGGTAATTTACTCTTGTGTCTATATTTTCTGTTGGAACTAGACCTAAGTCGCGTTCTGGCGTTGTGCAGGACAAGCTTTCATTGTACATGGCGTAACTTGCATTCTGCAGCCTGCAGGTGCGTAATTTCACTGCTTTGCACTTTTCAGGTTGAAAGTCATGCCACTGGCCACTGCCCAGTCTTCCAGAAGCTTTAGATCTGCCTGCAGCCTATGTGAGTCCCCCAGACACTTAATTACCCTACATATCTTCACTTCATCAGTGTATTGAAGAGTCGGGCAGTTTAGACGGCATGGCATCTCATTGGTGAAAATCAAAGACATCAATGGTCCTTCGGTAGAACCCTGCGACACCCCTAATGACGAGCGGTATCAAGATGATCGGACTCGATCGACCTTAGTGTAAAATTGCCTGTCAGCTAGGTAGTCCTTTAACCATGACAGAAGTGGCTTACATATACCTTCCTGGCTTATTTTTTGTAGCAGATCATGGTGAACTGTGTCAAATGCCTTCTCAAAGTCTAGGAAGACCACATGGACTGGAACATTCACATCCCAGCATCGTGTTCAATCGTCCCAAACTGATAACAGGTTCGTTACTCAGGATCAGCCTTTCCCGAAACCGTGTTGGGCTTCATGGAGTATATTAGACCTACCGAGGTAATCCTTGATGTGAACATCAATAATACTTTCCAGTACTTTTGATACCACTAGAAGTAGAGCTACTGTTCTATAAATAGTGTCATTTCTCCTCTCCCCACCCCAGAATATCAGAGAAAGAATGGCTCTTTTCCACTCCCTTGGCAGTGTCCCCGAATCTATCGAGTGTTGGAACAAGTCGCATAAGGGCCTACATACAGCTTCGGTGCACCGTTTCAGAACAGATGGCCTGATGTCGTCACAAACTGGAGATTTTCCAGATGTGAGTCCCTGTAGCTTCCCTAGTACTATTGACGGGTTTATTTGGGCAGTAACCACTAGGTTTTCCTCCGGTGAAATAGTAGTGTCGCCATTTTGGTTCGTACCAGTGTGGTGAGAGCAGGCTGCTAGCCGATTGGTTGGCACTAATCTACGTTAATGTCTAGGTCACTAATATTGACCGTGAACAAGGCTGTTTCAACAACCAATCACAGCAAACCTAAATGTGGACAAATATGATTCGCAGATAGATGGCTCTACTTTCCGAGAAATATCGAACACAACCAATCATAAGACTGTGTTTGTCTGCTTAACTTCCGAGAAACAACCAATCAGAAGACTGCCTTTTTCTGCTTGCATAAGCCTTATTAATGCATATAAAATATATATAAATACGTGTTGATTTTCGTAATAAAACGATCTGTTGCCAGCCCTTGTCTTCTGTTGTTACATTTGGTGTCGCTGCCTCCAAGAAGATGAAGATCCCGTGGCCAGCTGCGTTTGAAGAAGGTGACATACGGAGCTTCTTACGTGACTTCGAAGCCGTTGCTGAGCTGGTGGGTGTCAAGGAGCAGGCGGCGAAGGCAGTTGTCCTGGGGACGCTGTTGAGAGGCCGAGCGAAGGCTGCATATGACAGCGTAGACAGGTCAAATGGCACAGCGTCTTGGAAGAAATTGGTTGAACGACTAGTGTCCGAGTTTGACAGCGAAACAGACAGACAGCTAGCAATGCAGCAGTTCCGGTCAATGAAGCTTGGACCTGATGGAGACCCGCTAGTGTTGGCGGTGAAACTGACTAATCTACTTCGACGCGCGCTTCCCACTTTAGATGAAGAATCAGAAGCGCAGTTACTGTCTTCCCAATTCATCGAGAGTGTCCCAGACCACATTTCTCAGCGATTAAAACTGGTTAACGCAACGCAGCCGATGGATATTAGTGAGCTGGCGAAGGTGACCAGACAGCTGCTGAGCACAACGGTAGCCGCTATAGACCAACCAAAACCAAACGAATATGAGCAAAAATTGAAGCATTGCAGCGGGAAGTGGCGGCGTTAAAGTTGGCTGATAGAAAAGACCGGTGTTTTGAATGCGGTAAGCCGGGACACTGGAGAAGATACTGCCCAGAAAGGCGAAAAAGAAAAAATTTCAGACGGTATAATGCTTGTTCTTTCTTTCGTATGAACCTAGATTTAGTGGGGGCTATTGAGAAAGGCGCTCTGTATTCGAAGTTGCGAGTGAATGATCGAGAAGTAGTATGTTTGATAGATACAGGGCGGCCGTGTCGTTAATAGATAAGAATTTATGTAAGAGTGTTAATCCGTGTTCATTGACAGTACAAACAGTAGGCGGGTATGTGTTGCGTATCACGGGTAGATCGAACTGTACGGTCGTTGTTGGTGGCTGCGAGGTGACGTTTCCTTTCATTGTTGTACCCGAACTACAGCGAACGATATTAGGAGCGGATTTTCTGCGTGAGATTGGTGCCATAATCGACACGCAAGCGAACGTGGTGATCACGAAATACGGGCATATCAACATGTATGAGACCAGCGAGATAGCAGCGATTAAGCTGTCGACGGTACACAATGTGACAGAGTTAATTAATAAATACGATCATCTGTTCACTGGAGATGGGACCCATACGGTTATTGCGATAAGGTGAATCATGAAATTCCGTTAAGTGATCCGAAAGTAAGGTCATTTTTAACGCGAAGAGTTCCATGTCATCTGGAAGGCGAAGTGGAGCGACAAGTGCAAGAGATGTTAAAAGATGATATTATTGAGGAAGCTGATAGCCCATACAACTCTCCAGTGCTGTTAGTAAAAAAAGCGAATGGGAAGTATAGATTCTGTGTTGATTTCCGACAGTTAAACAGTATGACAGAGTTAAGACCGTGTGCCATGCCAACAGTGGTAGAAACCTTAGATCGCCTACAAGGTGCGAATGTGTTTTCGGTTCTCGATCTTCGCTCAGGATACTGGCAGATACCGATAAAACAAAGTGACAGAGATAAGACGGCTTTCATCGTGGGTCAGACACAATATCGATTTAAACGCATGCCGTTTGGACTAGCAGGTGCACCGTTTACGTTCAGACGACTGATGAAGCTATTACTTAAGAACTTGAAAAACGTGGAGGTTTATGGTGATGATCTCGTCATATACAGTCAAACGAAAACGATCACGTCAACCATGTAGAAGCCGTGCTGCGACGCATCGAAGAGTTTGGACTACGCGTCAACAAAACCAAGTCTCAGATAGCCAAAAAGAATGTTACTCTGTTGGGACATAAAGTGGGAAATGGTGAGATTAAACCACTGCCGGAGAAAATTTTGACGATTAAAACGATTCCAGCCCCGAATTCAAAGAGAAAACTGAGACAATTCTTGGGTAGAGCAGCGTTTTATAGTCGCTTCGTGAAGAACTTCAATGAGATAGCAGCCCCTCTATACAGGCTACTAGGTGAGCCAAAGTTTGTTTGGTCGGAAGAATCGCAGAGGACATTCGACAGAATTAAACAGCTGCTCGACCACCAACAAATGACGCTAAAACTACCTGTGCCAGGAAGACAGTTCACAGTGTGCACAGATGCCAGTGACTACGCTATAGGTGCGGTCCTAAGACAGGACGAGGGAATCGTTGAGTATGCCAGTAGGGTGTTGACCCTCACAGAGAGAAAGTATTCAACGATAGAGAAAGAATGTTTAGCAATGGTATGGGCAGTCGACAAATGGAGACCTTATTTACTCGGCCGGCGGTTCCACATCGAAACTGATCATAAGCCGCTACAATTTTTGAAGACAGCGAGAGACCCACGGGGGAAGTTGTCACGGTGGATGTTGCGTCTTCAGGAATACGATTTTACGATCTCACACGTTCCTGGAAGTGAAAATGTCTTGGCAGATTTGTTATCGAGACCAGAAGATGAGTCTGAGTTGCCCGAGGTCGCTTACGGAGTGCATGCAGTAGAACAAGACCCACTAAGACTTGCACGTAGGCAGAGGTTGGACGATACGCTGAATACAGTAATACAGGTGATCACCAACGGAATAGAAGTGGATCAAACTACGGCGAGTAAGGAGCTAACCACACTACTCAGACAGAGGGATCGACTCAGAGTGAATGCCTACGGGACTCTGACCTGGCGAGAGAACGACGGAAGCTGGCTGGCTGTCATACCTCAATCGTCGCGCCACGACATGATAGAAGAATGTCACCAGCTAGCGCATACAGGCGTGGCCAGAACGACCGACCTCCTAAGACAAAGTATGTACTGGCCAGGTATGAGAGAAGACGTAGCAAGATACGTACTTGGATGTCCACGGTGCCAGCTGATGAAAGGTGACCGGTATATACGACCACCACTTCAGTCGATTCCAGTTACCGCGATAGGTGACTTGTGGTCCGTAGATGTCATGGGTCCATTTCCTCAGACATCCAATGGTAATCAGTACCTCTTGGTGATGACGGAACACGCGACACGATGGGTAGACGCCGTAGCAATCCCAGACCAACGTGCAAGAACCGTGACAGATGCAGTAGTTAGACACATTGTTGCAGACCACGGCG